CAAGATTATTAGCATCATTGTTATTTTTAAGGACAGACGAGGTTTATGTTCCTGTGAGGGGAGCCAGGAGGTGTGTGAGCAGGGCCAACCTGGGGCAGGCCTGAACCAAGTGGCTCAGACAAAAGGTAGGCATCTCCCTGGAGATCTCCACTGTGGCCATAGGTCAGGTATATGTTGACAGGGCAGATTGGCCACTCTTCACCTGATGCAGCTCTTTCTAGACAGGTCGGGCAGTGGGCATTAACCATTTAGGACACCTCCATCACATCCCGCTCCTTACCCCAGTGCATAACACTAATGTGACCTCTCAATTCCCAACCATCCCAGGCCATAAGATGATGGTGGGGTAGGAGGATATGCTCCCTTTGCTGTCATCAGATTCCCAGAAAAATTTGGGTGTGAGAAACCCCCTTCCCTTTCCATGGCAAAACCAGGTCCTCAGAGAAGCCGTTACCCCCACCAGACATTGTTTTGGGTTCACAAAACAGGGACAGATGTGTGCTCCCTTAGCGCCTGGCAACCCTTCTTCTGAAAGGTGAGGACAGTGCTGATTGTAGTGACCATTTGCACATGGGGTTTAGTAGTGGGAACCAGGCAGGGTGGCTGCCCCCTCCCGAGCTGCAGTGACACAGGCCAGCCACCCTGTGCAGAGAATGGGAGAGGTAAACATGGGGTACAGGGAGCTGCCCAGGACAGACTTGGCTGGAGATGTCTCTAAAAGCCCTCTATTGCATTCACCTTCAGTTTTTGTGTTTTGGGACAATTACTTTAGGAAATAAGTAGGTCGTTTTAAAAACAAAAAAAATATTGATTGCTTTTTTGTAGTGTTCAAAAAAAGGTTCTTTGTGTATAGCCAAATGACTGAAAGCACTGATATATTTAAAAACAAAAGGCAATTTATTAAGGAAATTTGTACCATTTCAGTAAACCTGTCTGAATGTACCTGTATACGTTTCAAAAACACCCCCCACTGAATTCCCTGTAACCTATTTATTATATAAAGAGTTTGCCTTATAAATTTACATAAAAATGTCCGTTTGTGTCTTTTGTTGTAAAATTAAGTGATTTTTTCATAAGGTTCTTTTACTATTTGAAAAGATGGGCAGCACGCAGTTTTATTTTATTTTTGTAAGTTTTTTAATACGTGTGAAAGCAAAGACTACTCAGCATGCCTTTCTAAGTGACGCGTTTGCACCTTTTGTTGGGAAGTACTGTATCCTTTGCTGTTAGCATTCTCGATAAATCTCTCTGTGAAAGTGACTAAAGGTCTGGGCTTTCATTACCTGACAGCTCACAGGACAGCATGGTGGTGTGTTTCCTGATTCGGTCTGGTGTCCCTGAACACAGGAGAGCCAGCTGCTTTCAGGACTGCCTTGGGAGGAAAGGGCAGCCCGCTCCATACACTGCCTCCCTTTGGGTGCCCCAAGGCCACACTTTCCAGGCACACTGCTCTGCATGTGTGAGGAAACTCTGGAGTGGCAAGCTGGAAAGGACCTGGCACAAATCTGTCTGCTGTGCCCTAGGTCCAGAGACAGGTAGGCTGCAGGCCTTCTGCACAGCAGCACAACTTCCCTATTTCTCAGGGCCATGATAGGGGCACCTCTTCAGTTTGGATGTGCTGAGGTGCTTTTGCAAATACACACCACCACCACCCCCAGCTCCCGCTCCTGTGCCTACCACCTAAGACCCTCCCATGGCCTCTGCTGAACTGACTCCCTGCCCAAAGGGGGTGCTGTTGTCACTTCGGTTTGTAGGTGTCACACCCTGCCTATGCTGCTTGGTTTCCATGTAAGGCTATGAGCTCTCAAGAGCTACCTGCCCCACCACAGTCATCCTCACCAAGCTGTTGCTGGGCTGGAGGGGACAACAACTGCTCAGTGTCCAGCTTCACACGCAAATGTGGACATATCTATTAGAAGGTGCATTTGTAAGTGCTGGACTTGACCATTAAGACAAAGGGTTGAAATTCAACCTGTGTGTAGTGAGCATCTCTTGTGTGCCAGGCCTGTCTGGGGTGCTGCAGTCCAGCAGTGAGCAAGTAGGACCAAGTGCCTGTTCCTTTATAGAGCTTGGTGTGTGCGTGCATGATAATTTCCCATACTCAGGGTGTGGCTGGCATCCTCTTTGGGAGTGACTGTGGCTTCTGGGAAGAGGTTCCAATGGAGGTCTATATTTGGGTGGACCTGGTTTCTGGAAACAGCCCTAAGTCCCTGGGAGGACAGCTTGGGGTGGCAGAAGCCCTCTGGGGTCAGGATCAAGAGGACAAGGGGGATGGTGAGGGAAGTAGACCTGTTGCCTTGCAAACATGCATAGCTGGAGAAACAAAGGAGAAAGGCACCTGGTGCTGCTTGTGGGGTCTTCCCCCATCTAGTGGAGGAGGCTCAAGAAGGATACACCAGAGATGCCAGACATACCAAGGGCTGCAGGCAGCTATGCCAGAGGGGCCTAGGGAGCTTTAACCCTAGCTTCCACCTAGGGAGCTGTTTGAGCGAGCTCAACCTTGTCACATGAGGGCCAGGAAACTGCAAAGTGCAAACTCTGCAGAAGCCCTGGCCCATTCTTGGAACACTAAAGAGTTCTGGATGGCTTAAGGCTGCTGACATGTACAGAGAGTTAGACATGAGGTGGGAGGGCAGGCGCCACATTGTGACAGCATTGGAGGATGCATTGAAGAGCTGGAACCCATCAGAGGGCTTCAGAAAGCATGGGAAGGTCTTAAGCAGGAAAGTATGTGGCTTAATTTGTGCCTGAGGAAGAGCACCAGGATGGAGACTAGGCAGGGAAGCCGCCAGGAAGCCAGCGCATTCGTCCAGGTAAGAGGTAGTATAGTAGTGAGGGCAGTGGGCCAGTGGGGAGGAGATGGACTCCAGAGATGTTCAGGGAGACAACAGGAAAATAGTGGCTGCTGATGTGGGGTGGAGGAATGGAGGCTACAGAGCATTGTGGGAATGAACAAGAGAGACAATGTGTCCAAGACGTCAACCAGACCGAGAACTGAGCTTGGTGCCTGTCCACTGCTGTAGAAAAGAGGGTGGGAGAAGCCGTCCTCACAGGAGTGAATGCAAACTGAGCCAGAAACGTGATGAGGGAGGAGGGACAGCAGGCGCTGAAACCCTTTTATTTAAAGAGAGAAACCCAGTTTATGTGCTAGTGGGAAGGAGCCAGCAAAGAAGGAAAAGTGGAAGATATTGGGAACACTTGCTATTGCAGGTTCCTGAAGGAGCAGAAAAGATGGTATCCAGGCACAGGAGGTGGATGAAAATGCTCAGAGCTGGGGCAGGCTGCTGTACAAGTTTCCATACTGTTCTCCCTGCACCCAGCCACACGGCCAGCTGACAGGAGCCAGGGGCCTTTGTGTATGTAACCCACATCTGACCCAGTTCTACCAGCATCTCTCTCGACTCTCCATGCCTCCCAAATAAAGCCAAAACGTCTAAAGGGGGCCTCCCTATGACTGTCAACAAGGCCCTGCTCCAGCCCTTTCTCGGACGCCCCATACCTTCGCCATAGCCACCGTCCTCCGTGCTGGGAACCGCTCCCCTCCATCCCTCGGAGCCCCACTCTGATGGCCCCTCCTCCTGGAAGCCCGCCTAGCCCTCCCGGCCCCGCGCAGACGAGCTGCTTTCGCGGTAAGGGACCACGTGCAGCGCCCCCGTGTGGCCGAGGGCCGCTGCGGTGGCGCCAGCAGCAAGCAAGATGGTGGAGTCCCGGGGCACCGCCCCTTCCGCCTAGGCGGGCGTCGCACGAGGCTGGCTTAAAGGGGAAGTGAGTCAGTGTCCGCGGACC